ACCGAGGTCTACACCTGCCCACAGTGAGAGGTGGTCGCTACACCGAGGTCTACACCTGCCCACAGTGAGAGGTGGTCGCTACACCGAGGTCTACACCTGCCCACAGTGAGAGGTGGTCGCTAGGTCTACCTGCTCACAGTGAGAGGTGGTCGCTACACCAAGGTCTACATCTGCCCACAGTGGGAGGTGGTCGCTACACCAAGGTCTACATCTGCCCACAGTGGGAGGTGGTCGCTACACCGAGGCCTACATCTGCCCACAGTGGGAGGTGGTCGCTACACCGAGGCCTACACCTGCTCACAGTGAGAGGTGGTCGCTACACCGAGGTCTACACCTGCCCACAACCACAAGCATGTAAACACAGGTAATAACCTTCACCATTATATACCATTTTTGACCAAATACAATAAATATTACCCGAACTCTGATGACAAAACATTATATGAACACAGGTGGTGAGCCCGCCACGGGGACACTCACGCCCCACAATACATAATTCCCGGATGAAATAGACTAGATAAACCCATCCTAGAAATAAAAACGAGCCAGAAACATGTCAAAATATGTACATAAACACCTCAGTGTGTACGGGCGAATGCTGCACAATTTTCATTTATACACACACATACAGTGTATGTTTAAATACAGGAGACAAACCTCACCAACACTCAGCCAACTGCCAAAGGAGCTTAACTTAGTTACCAACACACCTACTACTACTACCTAATACATCTTAGTAGTTAACAAGTGGATTGCACTAGGAAGTGATGTGGTGGAGGCTGACTCCATACACAGTTTCAAGTGTAGATATGATAGAGCCCAGTAGGCTAAAAAATCTGTACACCAGTAGATTGTCGGTTGAGGGGCGAGACCAAAGAGCTGAGGCTCAACCCCCGCAAGCACAACTAGGTGAGTACACACACACACAAGATTGAAAGACTGCTAATGTAGTCCCGATATACAAGAAGGGGGATAAACAGGAGGCACTGAACTACAGGCCAGTGTCTCTAACTTGCATACCATGCAAGATGACGGAGAAGATTGTGCGAAAAAAGCTAGTGGAACATCTGGAACGAAGGAACTTTGTAACACAGTATCAACATGGGTTCAGGGATGGGAAGTCCTGCCTCACAGGATTAATTGAATTCTACGACCAGGCAACAAAAATCAGGCAAGAAAGAGAGGGGTGGGCAGACTGCATATTTTTGGATTGCCAGAAAGCCTTTGACACAGTACACACAAGAGGCTAGTGAAAAAACTGGATAAGCGGGCAGGAGTGAAAGGGAAGGTACTCCATTGGATAAGGGAGTACCTAAGCAACAGAAGACAGCGAGTCTCAGATTGGCGAGGCGTCACCATGCAGTGGAGTCCCGCAGGGTTCAGTCCTTGGACCTATCAGTCCTGTTTCTGATATATGTAAAAGATCTCCCAGAAGGTATAGAATCGTTCCTCTCATTGTTTGCTGATGATGCAAAAATTATGAGGAATAAAACAGAGGATGATAGTAGGAGGCTACAAGATGACCTAGACAGACTGAATGAATGGTCCAACAAATGGCTACTAAAGTTCAACTCGAGTAAATGCAAGGACATGAAACTAGGCGGTGGAAACAGGGGGCCAGACACAGGATATCGAATGGGAGATGAAGTACTTCATGAAACGGACAGAGAGAAAGATCTAGGATTTGATATCACACCAAACCTGTGTTACGATCCCGATTCCATCGTCGGAGCATGGAGTAGCGACGTCAATGCCATCTGTGAGTCCGCTCCTGAAACCCCCACAAATTGGACGACGCCATCTAGTGGTGACAGGATTATACCAGCAAGAGGCGCTAGATTCCTGTCCTAGTCAGCTCCAGAGGTAGCTGGTGCTGACCTCTGGTGAGGTGGCACCTAGAAAATCAGCGCCATCTGTTATAGGAGGAATTGTATGTCTATGTCCGAGTACGTAAGTGATGTTTCCTAGTGTCCCATGTACTGACCAGAGTACTGATGACGTGTCTGTATCCACAGAGGCGACGTAGGGCTGCTGTGGTACGAGGACAGTCGGTCTACCCAGGGCAGCCAATAGCTCTCTACTCCATTCTGCTTTACAGAAGCAGTGAGCCGCCGCCGGAGAAGAACTGTGTAGTGTTCTGTCTGCCTGTGAAGTGGCAGTGACAGAATTCGGTGTACCCGGGACTGGCTAGCGGAAGAGACGACTGACAGTAAGGTGCTACGGAGGAGTGTAACCAGCGAGTTGCAAGAAGCTCCTGCCAGGGGTTCGCTTTAAAAAAAAAACTTTAGTTCCACCAGCAAAGAACCCGGTTGCGACCCATTGTGGCCGTAACAACCTGTCTCCTGAAGCCCACATAAAAAGAATTACATCTGCGGCATACGCGAGGCTGGCTAACATCAGAACAGCCTTCAGGAACCTGTGTAAGGGATCATTCAGAACCTTGTAAACCGCATATATAAGACCAATCCTGGAGTATGCGGCCCCAGCATGGAGCCCGTACCATGTCAAGCACAGGACAAAGCTGGAAAGAGTTCAGAGGTATGCCACTAGGCTAGTCCCAGAACAAAGAGGCATGAGTTACGAGGAAAGGCTGCGTGAGATGCACCTTACGACACTGGAAAACAGAAGAGTAAGGGGAGACATGATCACTACCTACAAAATTCTCAGAGGAATTGACAGGGTAGATAAATATAAACTGTTTAACACGGGTGGTACGCGAACAAGGGGACACAGGTGGATACTGAGTACCCAAATGAGCCACAGAAACGTTAGAAAGAACTTTTTCATGTCAGAGTAGTTAACAGATGGAATGCATTGGGCAGTGATGTGGTGGAGGCTGACTCCATACACAGTTTCAAATGTAGATATGATAGAGCCCAATAGGCTCCGGAATCTGTACAACAGTTGACTGACGGGTGAGAGGCGGGACCAAAGAGCCAGAGCTCAATCCCCGCAAGCACAACCAGGCGAGTACAACTAGGTGAGCGCGCGCACACACACACACACACACACACAGTGTCAGCAAGGCGGACAGTCTGCCTACTGACATAACTCATACTATATTCCACATTTCTAAACATTTTCCTTCACCTACACCTCTCCAGCTTCTTTAACCTCTCCCCACCCCATCCTCAAAAAAGGGTAACCTTGTCATGGGTAAAGTTTGGGGGAGAATGAGGTGGGAGTTGGGGGTGGAGAGGAGGTAGCGAGGGACAGCACAACCACTCCGCTGGAGCAGGTGACTCTCAACACCTGCCACACAGGTGTTGACGGATCACAACAAATACAATTTTCAACGTGAATGTGAAAGTAGTCACTGCCTTAGTCACTGTGGCACTGTAAGCGAGCTCTGAGCACCACGGCGGTGTACACAATATTTGAGTAGTGAATAGCACCAACGTCCCTCAGGTTGAGGGCTGGAGGCGCGCTCCGTCATCCCAGGAGGAGCAGTCAGCTGTGACTTGCCACGCCAACCACCACCCCCACATTCCCTCCACAACACAGCAAAAACTGCCAAAAATTTGAAAGACGGCTTGTAAACATCCATTTGTAAACCTCTATCGTGTCACCCTCTTCGCCTTTCCAGTGAATGCAATTTAAGCTTTGTTAATCTTTCTTCATATGACAGGTTTCTAATTTGGGGGATTAACTTTGTCATCCTACGCTTCACACGTTCAAGTGAATTTACATCGATTCTATAGTACGGCGACCAAAACTGGACTGCATAATCTAAATGGGGCCTAACCAGAGCAAGATATAGCTGAAGAACAACACCAGGTGTCTTGTTACTAACGCTTCTATTATTAAATCCCAGTGTCCTATTTGCCTTATTACGAACATTCATACATTGATCTTTTGGTTTTAAATTCTTACTAATCATAACTACCAGATCCATTTCGCAATCCGACTTCGCAATCTCAACACCATCTAGCTCGTATCTTGTAACTATCATCATTACCTAGCCTCAAACCTTTACATTTATCAGCATTAAACTGCATCTGCCAATCTTTTGACCATTTCAAAACCATATTTAGATTGTCTTGAAGTGATAGTGAGTCTTTTTCCGTGTTTATTTCCTTACCGATTGTTGTATCATAGGCAAATTAGCAAATGTTGCTACTCGAACCTGAATCTAAATCATATATTATATAAATTATATATATATATATATATATATATATATATATATATATATATATATATATATATATATATAAACAACAGAGGTCCCAGGACAGAGCCTTGAGGAACTCCATTTACAACATTTCCCCACTCTGACTTAACCCCATTTATAATAACTATGTTTCCTTTGGTACAGCTAATCCAACTTAATATAGCACCCCCAATACTATGAGCCTCTATCATTTTAATCAGTCTTTCATGTGGCACTGTATCAAAAGCTTTGCTAAAGTCAAGGTACACATCAAAATCCTTACCACAATCAACGGCCTAAACTATGCTGGAATAAAATGATAGCAATTTGTTAAACATGAACGGCCATTTGTAAAACCACGTTGCGAATCATTTATTAAATTTGTTTTTCAAGACGAAGACGAATTGTATTTGCAGTTATCAATTCAAGTGGAATGCATTAGAATTGATGTGGTGGAGGCTGACTCCATACACAGTTTCAAATGTAGATATGATAGAGCTCGAGAAGCTCAGGAATCTGAACACCAGTAGATTAACGGTTTGAGAGGTGGGACCAAAGAGCTGAGGCTCAACCTCCGCAAGCACAATTAGGTAAGCACAGCACCTCCTCAACACTACCCCCCAACACTCCGTATGATGAAACACACGTGTCCAGCCAACGCGGGGAAGGCCTCCAGCCCCCTGAAGAGACGACAGGTAGCCTGGAACATGTGAAGAAATTCAAGAGAAGTCACCATGACAACAACAGCCACGACGACTCTCCCGTACAAGCAAACTCTGTCTCGACACTCTAAACATTAAGGAATGAAGGAGAATAACAAAAGGATTGAACAAAGTTCAACACTCACAGGAGACTGAGTTTGCGGAGGTCCTTGAAGGCTACCGGATGGACACACTCGATCCTGTTAGCGTTGAGGAGCCTGGTGGAGGAGAGAAGTATTAGCGTTGAGGAGTCTGGTGGAGGAGAGAAGTATTAGCGTTGAGGAGCCTGGTGGAGGAGAGAAGTATTAGCGTTGAGGGGCCTGGTGGAGGAGAGAAGTATTAGCTTTGAGGAGCCTGGTGGGGGAGAGAAGTATTAGCGTTGAGGGGCCTGGTGGAGGAGAGAAGTATTAGCGTTGAGGAGCCTGGTGAGGGAGAGAAGTATTAGCGTTGAGGGGCCTGGTGGAGGAGAGAAGTATTAGCGTTGAGGAGCCTGGAGGAGGAGAGAAGTATTAGTGTTGAGGAGCCTGGTGGAGGAGAGAAATATTAGCGTTGAGGAGCCTGGTGGAGGAGAGAAGTATTAGCGTTGAGGAGCCTGGTGGAGGAGAGAAGTATTAGCGTTGAGGAGCCTGGTGGAGGAGAGAAGTATTAGCTTTGAGGAGCCTGATGGAGGAGAGAAGTATTAGCGTTGAGGAGTCTGGTGGAGGAGAGAAGTATTAGTGTTGAGGAGTCTGGTGGAGGAGAGAAGTATTAGTGTTGAGGAGTCTGGTGGAGGAGAGAAGTATTAGTGTTGAGGGGTCTGGTGGAGGAGAGAAGTATTAGTGTTGAGGGGCCTGGTGGAGGAGAGAAGTATTAGTGTTGAGGAGCCTGGTGGAGGAGAGAAGTATTAGTGTTGAGGAGTCTGGTGGAGGAGAGAAGTATTAGTGTTGAGGAGTCTGGTGGAGGAGAGAAGTATTAGTGTTGAGGAGTCTGGTGGAGGAGAGAAGTATTAGTGTTGAGGAGTCTGGTGGAGGAGAGAAGTATTAGTGTTGAGGGGCCTGGTGGAGGAGAGAAGTATTAGTGTTGAGGAGCCTGGTGGAGGAGAGAAGTATTAGTGTTGAGGAGTCTGGTGGAGGAGAGAAGTATTAGTGTTGAGGAGTCTGGTGGAGGAGAGAAGTATTAGTGTTGAGGAGTCTGGTGGAGGAGAGAAGTATTAGTGTTGAGGAGTCTGGTGGAGGAGAGAAGTATTAGTGTTGAGGAGTCTGGTGGAGGAGAGAAGTATTAGCGTTGAGGGGTCTGGTGGAGGAGAGAAGTATTAGCGTTGAGGGGTCTGGTGGAGGAGAGAAGTATTAGCGTTGAGGAGCCTGGTGGAGGAGAGAAGTATTAGCTTTGAGGGGTCTGGTGGAGGAGAGAAGTATTAGCGTTGAGGAGCCTGATGGAGGAGAGAAGTATTAGCGTTGAGGAGTCTGGTGGAGGAGAGAAGTATTAGCGTTGAGGAGCCTGATGGAGGAGAGAAGTATTAGCGTTGAGGAGCCTGGTGGAGGAGAGAAGTATTAGCTTTGAGGAGCCTGATGGAGGAGAGAAGTATTAGCGTTGAGGAGCCTGGTGGAGGAGAGAAGTATTAGCGTTGAGGGGTCTGGTGGAGGAGAGAAATATTAGCGTTGAGGAGCCTGGTGGAGGAGAGAAATATTAGCGTTGAGGAGCCTGGTGGAGGAGAGAAGTATTAGCGTTGAGGGGTCTGGTGGAGGAGAGAAGTATTAGCGTTGAGGGGTCTGGTGGAGGAGAGAAATATTAGCGTTGAGGAGCCTGGTGGAGGAGAGAAGTATTAGCGTTGAGGGGTCTGGTGGAGGAGAGAAGTATTAGCGTTGAGGAGCCTGGTGGAGGAGAGAAGTATTAGCGTTGAGGAGTCTGGTGGAGGAGAGAAGTATTAGCGTTGAGGGGTCCGGTGGAGGAGAGAAGTATTAGCGTTGAGGAGCCTGGTGGAGGAGAGAAGTATTAGTGTTGAGTCTGGTGGAGGAGAGAAGTATTAGCGTTGAGGAGTCTGGTGGAGGAGAGAAGTATTAGTGTTGAGGAGTCTGGTGGAGGAGAGAAGTATTAGCGTTGAGGAGCCTGGTGAGGGAGAGAAGTATTAGCGTTGAGGAGCCTGGTGAGGGAGAGAAGTATTAGCGTTGAGGAGCCTGGTGAGGGAGAGAAGTATTAGCGTTGAGGAGCCTGGTGAGGGAGAGAAGTATTAGCGTTGAGGAGCCTGGTGAGGGAGAGAAGTATTAGCGTTGAGGAGCATGGTGGGGGAGAGAAGTATGACAATTATGAAGAAACAACAATAACGGTGGTGGCGGAGACAGCATCTCTCACATCTCACACAACTCATATCCTAATACCGGATTATTGTTATAATTCACAACAAATTATACAATTAATAAAATTAAATATTATTTACTAATGGTTGCACCTTTATAATTAAGAAGGTACATAAAGAGCACAGTACATTAATTACACAAGAGGACGTTTCGGTCCGTCCAGGACCATTACCAAGTCTTATCACATAAGACGGACGGACCGAAACGTCGTCGTTTCTTCATCTTCTGAGGTGTGGTTTGGTCATCATATCTTGAGCCACGGTATTGTGACTCATCGTCTGCCATCACATAATGAGTCACAATAACAACACAACACATACACACTCCCCACACCACACTCACACACCTTACCAGCAACACATACACACTCCCCACACCACACTCACACACCTTACCAGCAGCACATACACACTCCCCACACCACACTCACACACTTTACCACCAACAACTGACATAAACATCTCAGTAATGGAAAGTTTAGTTTGTTATTGGTGTCCAATGGACTCGAGTACTCACAGGAGCTGCAGGTTGGTGAGTCCCCTCAGTAACCTGGAGGATATGCTGGTGATCTTGTTGCCGTAGAGCACGCTGATGGGTCGTCACCACGACCACAACCACCCAGGAGACGTGCAGGGGGGGGTGGTCACCACGACCACAACCACCCAGGAGAGGTGCAGGGGGGGGGGTGGGGTCACCACGACCAACCAGAAGCCACACAGTGGAGAAGTGAGGGAAAAAAACACAATTATTGTTATGAAACAAAAATATGAAAATTAAAACACCAAAATTCTGTATATATATATATATATATATATATATATATATATATTATATATATATATATATATATATATATATATATATATATATATATATATATAAAACACCAGAAGTCTTAATGAAACACACGGGTGACGACCCCACCTCTGGCAAGTATCATTATTACAACATCTGTTCAATTATTATATTTAAAACTAAAACAAAAATTGGTATATGAATAATTACAAATTATTTCTCTTGTCAAGGTATTTATCTAAACATTATATATATATATATATATATATATATATATATATATATATATATATATATATATATATATATATATATATATATGTGTCGTACCTAGTAGCCAGAACTCACTTCTCAGCCTACTATGCAAGGCCCGATTTGCCTATTAAGCCAAGTTTTCCTGAATTAATATATTTTTCTCTATTTTTTCTTATGAAATGATAAAGATACCCATTTCATTGGTCAATTGTTTTTCATTGGAGATAAAATTAAAATAGATATATGACCGAACCTAACCAACCCTACCTAACCTAACCTAACCTATCTTTATAGGTTAGGTTAGGTTAGGTAGCCGAAAAAGTTAGGTTAGGTAGTCGAAAAACAATTAATTCATGAAAACTTGGCTTATTAGGCAAATCGGGCCTTGCATAGTAGGCCGAGAAGTGCGTTCTGGCTACTAGGTACGACATATACATATATATATATATATATATATATATATATATATATATATATATATATATATATATATATATATATATAATACATTTGACAATATATAACCACTTTTGAAGATGTGTTGCTTAACACGAAAGCGCTCAAGTAATTTCTTGCTTCAATTTTCCTTCTTAGTTATACATTGTCACGTAATTCATCTACTGTTACACACAGAAATTCCATTATTATGATATATCGATGAACAAAACCATAGGAGCCGTGAAGAGGGTTCAAACCTATGCGCTGGGAGTTCCCAGGCGTGCTTTGTCAACTGCGCCACCACGTGGTCAAAAAAGTGCAACCTGGGGTACTACAACACCCACTGGGGTTCCCGAGGCTTCCACTCAAGCCGCATGCATGGGGGGAGGAGGGGGTGTTTCACACTACCACCCCCCCATGACGCGGGCGTAGTTCTACCTCTGACGCCCCTCTTTCAATACACATTATGAAATATATCACGATACTGTGATAATGAAATATATCATAATAATGAGAGGTGTTAGTGTGGGCGGGGTGTTAATGTGGGCGGGGTGTTAGTGTGGGCGGGGTGTTAGTGTGGGCGGGGTGTTAGTGTGGGCGGGGTGTTAGTGTGGGCGGGGTGTTAGTGTGGGCGGGGTGTTAGTGTGGGCGGGGTGTTAGTGTGGGCGGGGTGTTATGTGGGCGGGGTGTTAATGTGGGCGGGGTGTTAATGTGGGCTGGGTGTTAGTGTGGGCGGGGTGTTAGTGTGGGCGGGGTGGTAATGTGGGCGGGGTGTTAGTGTGGGCGGGGTGTTAGTGTGGGCGGGGTGTTAGTGTGGGCGGGGTGTTAGTGTGGGCGGGGTGTTAATGTGGGCGGGTGTTAGTGTGGGCGGGGTGTTAGTGTGGGCGGGGTGTTAGTGTGGGCGGGGTGTTAATGTGGGCGGGGTGTTAGTGTGGGCGGGGTGGTAATGTGGGCGGGGTGTTAATGTGGGCGGGGTGTTAGTGTGGGCGGGGTGTTAATGTGGGCGGGGTGTTAATGTGGGCGGGGTGTTAGTGTGGGCGGGGTGTTAGTGTGGGCGGGGTGTTAGTGTGGGCGGGGTGTTAATGTGGGCGGGGTGTTAGTGTGGGCGGGGTGGTAATGTGGGCGGGGTGTTAATGTGGGCGGGGTGTTAGTGTGGCGGGGTGTTAATGTGGGCGGGGTGTTAATGTGGGCGGGGTGTTAATGTGGGCGGGGTGTTAGTGTGGGCGGGGTGGTAATGTGGGCGGGGTGTTAGTGTGGGCGGGGTGTTAGTGTGGGCGGGGTGTTAGTGTGGGCGGGGTGTTAGTGTGGGCGGGGTGTTAGTGTGGGCGGGGTGTTAGTGTGGGCGGGGTGTTAGTGTGGGCGGGGTGTTAATGTGGGCGGGGTGTTAATGTGGGCGGGGTGGTAATGTGGGCGGGGTGTTAATGTGGGCGGGGTGTTAGTGTGGGCGGGGTGGTAATGTGGGCGGGGTGTTAATGTGGGCGGGTGTTTAATGTGGGCGGGGTGTTAATGTGGGCGGGGTGTTAATGTGGGCGGGGTGTTAATGTGGGCGGGGTGTTAATGTGGGCGGGGTGTTAATGTGGGCGGGGTGTTAATGTAGGCGGGGTGTTAATGTGGGCGGGGTGTTAGTGTGGGCGGGGTGTTAGTGTGGGCGGGGGTGTTAGTGTGGGCGGGGTGGTAATGTGGGCGGGGTGTTAATGTGGGCGGGGTGTTAGTGTGGGCGGGGTGTTAGTGTGGGCGGGGTGTTAGTGTGGGCGGGGTGTTAGTGTGGGCGGGGTGTTAATGTGGGCGGGGTGTTAATGGGGCGGGGTGTTAATGTGGGCGGGGTGTTAATGTGGGCACGGGAGGGGGGGTAGCGCAGTCTTTGGGAAGGCCGTGGGGGAGGGTGGATGGGGGTACATGTGGCTTGTGGGCGTATGGAGGAGAGTGGGCGGGCGGGTGCGGGTGTGAAGGCGGGCGGGGGGGGTGTGGGTAGCAGTACTTACAGAGAGTTGAGACTGTCCAGGCCGTGGAAGGCGTCCTCGGCCACCTCGCTGATCTCGTTGTTGCTCAAGTCGCTGTTAGTGAGACATTTCCTTCCTTATAACATCCATCGACTTAAGTACTCGCAAGTATACTAATTTCTTCAATAACAAACTTGTATAATAGTCAAACTGGTTCTCTCTCTCTCTCTTTCTCCTCTCTCTCTCTCTCTCTCTCTCTCTCTCTCTCTCTCTCTCTCTCTCTCTCTCTCTCTCTCTCTCACACACACACATTCGATGGGTTACAGGTAAGCTTCTAACATGGATCAAAATGAGGGCAGTAATCAGACTGGAGAAATGTCACAAGTGGAGTACTACAGGGTTCAGTTCTTGCACCGGTGATGTTCATTGTCTACATAAATGATCTACCAGATGGAATAGAGAATTATATGAACATCTTTACTGATGATGCTAAGATAATAGGAAAGATAAGAGACTTAGTGAATTACATGATTGTAATGTCTTTCAAGAAGACCTGAACAAAATAATTATATGGAGCAATACTTGTCAAATAGAATTTGATGTGAATAAATGCCATGTTATGGAATGTGGAATAGGAAAACATAGACCTCACACAACCTACAAATTATGTGAGAAATCTTTAAAAAAATATGATAAAGAGAGATCCAGGGGGTGGTTCCAGACAGAAAACTGTCACCTGAGGACTACATTAAGAACAGTGTGCGAGGGGCCTATGCTACACTTTCTAACTTCAGAATTGTTTTTAAATACATGGATGGCGAAATACTAAAGAAATTGTTCACGACTTTTGTTAGGCCAAAGCTAGAATATGCAGCGGTTGTGTGGTGCCCATATCTTAAGAAGCACATCAACAAACTGGAAAAGGTGCAAAGACATGCTACTAAGTGGCTCCCAGAACTGAAGGGCAAGAGCTACGAGGAGAGGTTAGAGGCATTAAATATGCCAAAACTAGAAGTAAAAGAGGCGATATGATGACAACGTACAGTATAGTAAAAGGAATCGTTAAAATTGATAAGGAAGACTTCCTGAGACCCGGAACTTCAAGAACAAGAGGTCATAGATTTAAACTAACTAAACAAAGCTGCCGAAGAAATATAAGAAAATTCACTTTCGAAGAGTGGTAGACGGTTGGAACAAGTTAGGTGAGAAGGTGGTGGAGGCCAAAACCGTCAGTACTTTCAAAGCGATATACGACAAAGAGAGCTGGGAAGACGGGACACCACGAGCGTAGCTCTCATCCTGTAACTACACTTAGGTAATTACAGTTTATAAGGTAGATAAAGACAGTTTAACACAAGGCACACTCGCACAGGCGACACAGATGGAAGCTGAGTATCCGAATGAGCCACAGACACATTAGAAAGAACGTCTTCAGTGTTAAATTAGTTAACAAATGGAATCCATTAGGCAGTGATGTGGTGGAGGCTGACTCCATACACAGTTTCAAATGTTGATATGATGAAGCCCAATAGACTCAGGAACCTGTGCACCAGTTGATTGACAGTTGAGAGGCGGGATCAAAGAGCCGAAGCTGAACCCCGGCAAGTTCAACTAGGCGAGTACAACTAGGTGAGTACACACACAGTAACCAAATACTTACAACAAACTTGCCGCACTTGCACTTTAAGTTCAAGTTCAAGTTGGGTTGGGCTGGGTTAGGTCAGGTCAATTTAGTACACAAGTGTATGTGTAATGAACGCTTAAGAGACGGGATCAGTGCGCGGGATATTTGTCCAACAACTTTAGTAGACAGGTAAATGTTTGACACATGTATACATATATCTGGCTCATACTGACACACAGTCTACGAACGTGTACACATTTATTTCATCATGCGTAATTATATATCGAGGAATCACAAGGGCTATACACTGAAAGGTGTATATCTAGGGATGTATAGCCCTCCCCCGGGTGATAGGCCTACAGCCCAACACTAAGCCATATATATATACAAGCCCAAATACTTTACTAATAACTATGCCTATCATCTATACGCTTGTATTCACCAAAAGCCTAAACGAAATCTGCCTCCAGGGCTAGACCAGGCTTTGTCAATTATATTTTTGTCCACTAACGAAACCTGTACATCTTCCTCAGTGATAGCGGATACATTAGTATTTATTGAACGGTTTAAGAGCTCCGGAGCGCTGCGAGGTAGTCTATAGCAATACCATTCTTGGGTTGCGAAGTCTCCAAGCTCGCGAGTTGTTAACCAAGCCGCCATGACTGACGAAAGATGTACAGGTTTCGTAAGTGGAGACGCAAGTGTGGTTGAGGAGTGGCGGACGTGGTGTGGGGACACTCACATGCGCTTCAGGAGACGGTAGGGCGTGAAGATCTTGGAGGGGACGTGGCTGATCTCGTTGTGCTCCAGGCGTCTGTAGGGACAAGAGTGGTGGTCAGTACTGTTGACAGGGGGGGAGGTGTTTGAGGGCGGGGGGAGGTGCTGGAGGCCGAGGGGAGGTGTTGGAGGCCGGGGGGAGGTGCTGGAGGCCGGGGGGAGGTGCTGGAGGCCGGGGGGAGGTGCTGGAGGCCGGGGGGAGGTGCTGGAGGCCGGGGGGAGGTGCTGGAGGCCGGGGGGAGGTGCTGGAGGCCGGCGGGAGGTGCTGGAGGCCGGCGGGAGGTGCTGGAGGACGGAGGGGGGGGACACTGAGGGTTAAGGAGACATATTAAAAATGAATAACGAAGCCCCAACATCAACAACAGTAACGGTGGGACTCATGATGGAAATATGTTGTTTACGCTGAAACAGTGTGGCGCAGGGTGTGGACACTGGCTGCCACACCCATACAGTGTGGCGCAGGGTGTGGACACTGGCTGCCACACCCATACAGTGTGACGTAGGGTATGGACACTGGCTGCCACACCCATACAGTGTGGCGCAGGGTGTGGACACTGGCTGCCACACCCATACAGTGTGGCGCAGGGTGTGGACACTGGCTGCCACACCCATACAGTGTGGCGCAGGGTGTGGACACTGGCTGCCACACCCATACAGTGTGGCGCAGGGTGTGGACACTGGCTGCCACACCCATACAGTGTGGCGCAGGGTATGGACACTGGCTGCCACACCCATACAGTGTGACGTAGGGTATGGACACTGGCTGCCACACCCATACAGTGTGGCGCAGGGTGTGGACACTGGCTGCCACACCCATACAGTGTGGCGCAGGGTGTGGACACTGGCTGCCACACCCATACAGTGTGGCGCAGGGTGTGGACACTGGCTGCCACACCCATACAGTGTGGCGCAGGGTGTGGACACTGGCTGCCACACCCATACAGTGTGGCGCAGGGTGTGGAACACTGGCTGCCACATCCATACAGTGTGGCGCAGGGTGTGGAACACTGGCTGCCACATCCATACAAATTACTGAAGCTTAACTCTTAATTAACTAACCATATTTATGATCACTTTAAGAGCATTCTCGTTTACCAATTAAAATCTTTCAATATACGGAAACAATATAAATGAGTTTACCAAAGTTAACAGAAGCTTTACAAATAATATAGCAACAATTTAGAGGCGTCTCAATGTGGGGTGATGACAGACAGACACGGCCTCTCACTAGCCAAGGCTGTGAGGAGTGCCACAACGGAGTGCCATCGTGGCAACTTTGGCACGGGGCGGATGCCATACATTGAGGCCCACGTTCACTACAGAGGAACAAATCTCTCTTGGTAAGCCAATGGTAGAGGGTGGCTCCCCGTCCACCCCGGCCAACCATCAGGCGAGGGCCCCGTCCACCCCGGCCGACCATCAGGCGAGGGCACCGTCCACCCCGGCCGACCATCAGGCGAGGCCCCGTCCACCCCGGCCGACCGTCAGGTGAGGGCCCCGTCCACCCCGGCCGACCATCAGGTGAGGGCCCCGTCCACCTCGGCCGACCATCAGGTGAGGGCCCCGTTCACCCCGGCCGACCATCAGGTCTCGGGGGATGAGAACATTCCTGTCTGTGCGGCCGGGAGCGTGCGGGACTCTGGTAAAACTTCCCTTATCACGCCACGAAAAAAAGTTAATGCGAGGCCATTTGTTGGGCGGGCCGCTATCTGCAGGCCTCGCTATCCCGCCCGCCCGGGACGAGCCTCACTATCCCGCCCGCTCGCCTGGGACGAGCCTCCCTATCCCGCCCGCCCGCCTGAGACGAACCTCACTATCCCGCCCGCCCGGGACGAGCCTCGCTATCCCGCCAGCCCGGGACGAGCGGGATAGCGAGGCTCGCTCTCTCCCACACATAAACTGTTCATCTCGGGTAAATGTGGGAGAACATCTTTAATTATATTAATTTCGCTATAATACCTTAGCATTTTATCCGAACTGCGAAGCATTAATGATTCTATAATTGCATATAATCTCTTAAAGTCAAAAACATCTGACAGTCGAAATGCGTTTTTTTCCTCCCCCAGGTTAGTGCAAGTCCCATCAAGTCCACCGCACTGATTCCTACCTCCAATTACACGAGGGCGGGGGAGAAAAAGTTATTTTCCCCTCAGAGAAAAAGGCAAACATTTTCTACCTTATAGAAAAAAAAAACAAGGGTAATATCTTTCTCGCGAGCGGTGTTGGTGGCAGAAGCAGATCCTCTTGCCGTGTCTGAGTGATCCGACACGCAACGCCATTCCTCGGGTTGGTCTTCCTTCCTCAGATGCTCTTTGGAAAAAAAAAAAACTACTAAAAAACCGTCAAAACTGCGCAGTTCACAGCCGAATATCTCTGAGATACTGAAGGGCAGGAACTCTCTCTTGCTTCCGGGGCAGCGTAAGGTACTCACAGTTCTATGGTGTCGTCGGGGATGTGCGTGGGCACGTCAGTCTGGCCAGTGTCGCGGCAGTCGACGATGCCGGCGCCACAGCGGCAGGCGCGGGGACAGACGGGCGCCAGGCTGCACCCGCGGTCCACCGTCTCCACCAGACCTGCAATGGAAACCCAGGTAATGAGGCTTACCCCCACTGGCGAACACTTCCAATAACACCACTGTATACGCCAGTGGAGTACCTTGGTACCCTGGTACCGCAGGTTCGAATCCTGCTCCGTCATAAGAACTCTCATTATATATAAATATATATATGTCGTACCTAGTAGCCAGAACGCACTTCTCAGCCTACTATGCAAGGCCCGATTTGCCTAATAAGCCAAGTTTTCATGAATTAATGTTTTTTTCGACTACCTAACCTCCTAACCTAACCTAACTTTTTCGGCTACCTAACCTAACCTAACCTATAAAGATAGGTTAGGTTAGGTAGGGTTGGTTAGGTTCGGTCATATATCTACGTTAATTTTAACTCCAATAAAAAAAAATTGACCTCTTACATAATGAAATGGGTAGCTTTATCATTTCATAAGAAAAAAATTAGAGAAAATATATTGAGTAAAACTTGGCTTATTAGGCAAATCGGGCCTTGCATAGTAGGCTGAGAAGTGCGTTCTGGCTACTAGGTACAACATATATATATATATATATATATATATATATATATATATATATATATATACACACATAATTAACCTCATTATTCGGGAAGTGGCTCCTCCCAAGCACTCATCGATAACTAAGTCCACGCAAGAGTTTATGTAAATGTTTTTTTGTACATATGTAAAATAAATATAAAAATGTGTACCAATAAGCAACACGATATTCTGTGTTCATACGTTTTTGGCGTTGCTGCCCCTGGAGCCGACTCCTTGTTTAACCCCCGACACGATAGTGTAGCGATCACGCCACCGTCCCTCCTGGTCAGCACACTGGTGGACTCAGGCAGTAGCCAGACCGCCACGTTTACAAAGCTGAGACCTCTGTCTCAGGAGGCTTAACCTCCAGCTCCTGATGACTTGCTAAGGCCGTTCATTAAGAGTTATGGTGCCAGGTGTTGTAACACTGTGTTGCTTTCAGTGTCCGGGTTATTGAGTTGAAATTAGTGTTCATACTTTTATGTTATTTTTTTTTTACATAAATTACATGTACACAGACAATTGTGTTGCAGGTGCAATCAGTTGTGAGTCGTGTAAACCGTTTTTCATTCATAAACAGGGGGTTTGGCGGGTGCATGGAATGGACTTTGGGTCTTTGTTTATGAGGACGGGCTGGTTACACATGACTCACAACTGCAGCCCGTCCTCCAAAGACCCAAAAGTGATTCCATGCACCCGCTAAACCCCCTGTTTATGAATGAAAAACGGTTTACACACAACTCAACTAATTTCGTTCGAACGCTTCCGGAACAAGTGCTTCACTGACGCATTTTGTTCGAACCACAACGCTGTAAATGCTTCACCCACGTACTACAAATACAAATAATCGGCAACAGAACCTAAACATCTAACCTAAGCTATGTCTATATTTGCACATTATGCTAATATATTACAATATTAATATTAATTTATATATGAGAAATTCCTATTTTGAAAGACAAGCATGTTAAAATTCATGAATGCTTCTTTGGGGGGTCGACCGCTGAATGGAATGGACTTGGTCTGAGGACGGGACCACTGTTAGACAGTGGCGTCTAACAGCTTGGTTGAGGAGACCACAAACCGCGGGGACGCAGGTCCTCTGAGAAACATCAAGGTAACATACAAATATCTTGACCATCTGGTCAAATAATGGAACACACACCGTGCTAAATGATGCTAGATACACTGGCTCTTGCTAAACTTATATAAAAATTCGCAGAAAATTTCAATTATTTATTATTTTTATTAATATTGATAAAATGGTTTAACATTATTATTATTATATTATTTTTATTATTATCATCGTCGACATGCTGGCAGATGTGAAGGGAGGCCGGGAAGACTCAAGAGTGAGGAAGCTTTATAATGTAAGATGTGCTCTGAATTAAGGCCAGACCTGCGCACCAGACATGTGTTATCATGAGGACACCACCAATGGGGGCCACCATGAGGACACCACCAATGGGGGCCACCATGAGGACACCACCAATGGGGGCCACCATGAGGACACCACCAATGGGGGCCACCATGAGGACACCACCAATGGGGGCCACCATGAGGACACCACCGCCACCATGAGGACACCACCAATGGGGCCACCATGAGGACACCACCAATGGGGCCACCATGAGGACACCACCAATGGGGGCCACCATGAGGACACCACCAATGGGGGCCACCATGAGGACACCACCAATGGGGGCCACCATGAGGACACCACCAAGGGGGCCACCATGAGGACACCACCAAGGGGGCCCCACATAAAGCAACCAGTGTCACCAGAGAGGTACCAGCGGGGGCACCATACAAGTACCAGCGGGGCGCCATAGGGGCACCGCCACAGACCCTCGCAGGGTGCCCCATTAACCATACAAATTCAATCACTAACTTGAGCGCTAGTGACGCGCGGGCGTGGGAAATCAGTGCTTGTCCACACTCGCCGCTCAACGTAAGGTATACACATATGTATACACAGACAGATGAAGCGCCTTCCTCTGGGTATACATACACCTTAATGCTTCACTATGCCAAGGATTCATGTCAGACGTCCTTATCAACTATGGAGAAGTTGGTGGACCTTAACCCCGGCGCCATAGTAATCATTCCTGCTCTCACTACTTCTCTAGACCGACACAACCCAGCCAGTCGTATCCGTATATAGCCCTTAAAACACTTATAACAAAAAAAACTAAGAGTGAAAATAAAAATATGTTGTTAACCGAAGCAAGATATTAAAACTTTTTTGTGTGAACTTGGCGGGCTATGAAGACCCTGTGATTGGCTGGTCTCGTGGATCACCCAATTGTAACACAAGTTATGTTAATTGTTTCTTGAATAAAATAGCTTTTCGATAAATAACTGACCCTTCGTGTGGTTATCTGTATCCGAGCAACTCGAGACTACACACACACGCACGCGTCATAAAACAGTCCTGTCGTCGGAAGAGGAAGCTTGTTCCCTTAGTGGCCAACGACTAAAATATCACTAAATGTAACTTACAAGTCACTAACTCCTAGGTATCTATTTTACTGATAGGAACAACTTGCAACTTTACTAAACTGGACTTTAACATTGTCTTAAGCGTGCTGTTCTCTCATGTGAAGTTGCTTTAGAGCGTCCATCCTCCAGAGTGACAACGTGGACAGTTTACCCGTCGTCAGTTTACCGTCGTCTGCAACACGTCTTCCCCACCACTACACCCCCCCCCCTCCATCACATCCAGACGCCGCACCAACAACAGTTATGAAGACGATATAGTCCGTCAACCCGTTCTCGCAAATTCGTAAAGTCAATACTGACTTATTAACTACGTGCATAGGTGATATACTAAACATAATAGATACCCTTAAAAAGATTCATAGAAAACACCAACCTTACCTAACCTTGTTAGTATGTTAAGATAAGCATCTTATTGCTTCGTAATTACAATTATTGACTTCGTTCGTATCCACTATCAGGAGAAAGCGTCAACGTTGCCACATTTGACCGTTAGAAAATGTTGGAAACATGTCTGAATAACATTTTGCGCAATCGCTGCGTCGTACCCGGTCGATACGGGAGCCGGTCGGCCGAGCAGACAGCACGCTGGGCTTGTGATCCTGTGGTCCCGGGTTCGATCCCGGGCGCCGGCGAGAAACAATGGGCAGAGTTTCTTTCACCCTATGCCCCTGTTACCTAGCAGTAAAATAGGTACCTGGGTGTTAGTCAGCTGTCACGGGCTGCTTCCTGGGGGTGGTAAAATAGGTACCTGGGAGTTAGTCAGCTTTCACGGGCTGTTTCCTGGGGGCGGAGGCCTGGTCAAGAACCGGGCCGGCATAGGGTAAAGAAACTCTCCCCATCGTTTCTCGCTGGCGCCCGGGATCGAACCCGGGACCACAGGATCACAAGTCCGGTGTGCTGTCCGCTCGGCCGACTAGCTCCCCCTCGGCCGACTAGCTCCCCTACATCTCTGATTAAACCATAGGATTCTCACCTTCATTTCATTGGTTTCCTTTTGGACTGGGACAAACTTGTTCGCTGCCTCCTTGCACTTGTGCGTGATGAAGTACACAGGTTCCTGAGGCCTGGTCGAGGACCGGGCCGCGGGGACACTAAAAAGCCCCGAAGTCATCTCAAGATATGCCCCTGTTACCTAGCAGTCAGAAAAAATAGGTACCTGGGAGTTAGTCAGCTTTCACGGGCTGTTTCCTGGGGGCGGAGGCCTGGTCAAGAACCGGGCCGGCATAGGGTAAAGTCGCTGGCGCCCGGGATCGAACCCGGGACCACAGGATCACAAGTCCGGTGTGCTGTCCGCTCGGCCGACTAGCTCCCCCTCGGCCGACTAGCTCCCCTACATCTCTGATTAAACCATAGGATTCTCACCTTCATTTCATTGGTTTCCTTTTGGACTGGGACAAACTGGTTCGCTGCCTCCTTGCACTTGTGCGTGATGAAGTCCATCATGTCTTGGGCCGTCTTTCCCCTGAGCTCTGTTTCCCATGTTATATCTGTTAGGAATTTTCTTAACTCCTCATAGTTTCCCTTTCGGAATGCCAGTTTTTTGTTTTCAGTGCCCCTCCTCGAGTTCAATAACCCTTCCTTAACCAGATACTCAAACGCCAGTACACTGTGGTCGCTCATTCCTACTGGGGCCTCATAGCCGATTTCCCGTATGTCGGAGTCGTTCAGAGTGAAGACTAGGTCGAGTCTCGCTGGTTCATCGTTTCCTCTCATCCTAGTGGGTTCCCTGACATGTTGGCTTAGAAAGTTTCTTGTCGCCACCTCCATAAGTTTGGCTCTCCATGTATCCTCTCCTCCATGCGGTTCCTTGTTCTCCCAGACTATCTTTCCGTGATTGAAGTCTCTCATGATGAGCAGATGGGATCTATTTCTACAGGCAGCAGAGGCTGCCTTCTCAATTATAGTGTTAACTGCCATGTTGTTGTTGTCATACTCTTGCCTGGGTCTTCTGTCATTTGGTGGAGGGTTATATATCACTGCTACTACTACTTTTGGTCCTCCCAAGTCATGGTTCCTGTTATGTAGTCTCTGAATCCCTCGCATCCCGGGATGACCATCTCCTTGAAGCTCAATTCCTTTCTCATTAGTAAGGCCACTCCACCTCCTCCCCGTCCTTCCCTCTCTTTCCTTATTACTGTGTAGTTCTGGGGAAACACCGCGCGCGCGCGTGTGTGTGTGTGTGTATTCACCTAGTTGTGCTTGCGGGGTTTGAGCTCTGCTCTTTCGGCCCGCCTCTCAACTGTCAATCAATCAACTGTTACTAACTACTAATTTTTTTCCACGCACATACACACACACCCAGGAAGCAGCGCGTAGCAGCTGTCTAACTCCCATGTACCTATTTACTGCTAGGTAACAGGGGCAACAGGGTGAAAGAAACTCTGCCCATTTGTTTTTCCGGCGGTGCCGGGGAATCGAACCCCGGTCCCTAGGTCCACGAGCCTAGACCGCTGTCCGCTCAGCCACCGCCCACCATTTACATATATCAGAAACAGTATAGGTCCAAGGACGTGTGTGTGTACTCACCTATTTGTGCTTGCGGGGGTTGAGCTTTGGCTCTTTGATCCTGAGTGTGTGTGTGTGTGTGTGTGTGTGTGTGTGTGTGTGTGTGTGTGTGTGTGTGTGTGTGTGTGTGTGTGTGTGTGTGTGTGTGTGTGCGTGCGTGCGTGCGTGCGCACGTACGTACGTACAGTATAGGAGAAGACACTGTTCAGGATTCAGAACATTGAGAGCAGTGTTGAGGGCCGCAGGGTAGCGTCACAGTATATATACCTTCACAACACCAGCGGACTCCACAGTTCTCATATAATAATACAATCTCTTCTATCATTGCCAAGAATCAATAACCTTCCCTCGCACCCAATTCTGATCTTGCGGTCTCTGGTCTTATCTCAACTTTTCCAGGCGTCTTGCAATTCCTCCTTTATACAATCTCCCTCGAGACTCCTTGATTCTTCGCCATTCCAGAAAGTCTCCTGCGATCTTGTGATTTCACTTCCCCTCACAATCGCTATTGAATTCTCTGCTCGTCTCCTTGCCCCCAACTCGCTACGACTCCCCGCGCCCTTCCCCTCCATGAAAATCTAATAACCCAGGGCGTCCTCACCCACACCAAATATTATGGAAATTCAATTGGAAAGGTAAAAGCGAGCGATCAGAAGTTCTTCCAGAGGGGCCAAGGGCGACGCTCCCCTCTCTAGTCCGGTCTTTGTGTTCTTCTTCAGCAATGTCTGTGTCTCTCTCTGTCTCCCCATCTCTCTTGGTCTCTATATTGGATTATCTTCTTAATTTCTGCACCCTTCCCGGTTTGCTTGCTTGCTACTCCCTCTCTTTCTCTCTCTCTCTCTCTCTACATATATTGACTTTTGTCCTCCGCGTACAGCCAAGATTCTATGCATTCAGATAAAATATATTTCAGATATTTTATCCATAAATTGAACCGTGATCTAATTTGTGACTTGTGCATTCCGTGGCGTGCGAGCCGCCTCGCTCACCAAACAATTCCACCACACCAAAAAGAAACAAAAAACTTTCCAACTCGGAAAAAGCTAACACAGTAACAAAGGAGGATGGAGTGAAGAATTCCCACCACGACCCAAAACCCGAGTGAAGGAACCCCACACATCAAGGTAACACCTCGCCATCGTCGACTTGTTCAGTCCCTCTTCTAAACTCTTCTACAATACTTTTGGTAATTCTGCAAATATTATATTTGGCATTAGTTTAATAGAAGTCCCGTGTTGTGTCGTCTGGAGTTATTCTGCCTCGTCTGGAGTGCTTTTTGTTATGCCTGGAGTGCTTCCGACACATTCAGAGAGTTTATGGCACGTCTGGAGTGCATCAGTAACGCCTGGGGACCAGTCAGGCTTATCATGTTACATTATATATTCACTATAACTATATATATATATATATATATATATATATATATATATATATATATATATTAATGTTGAGCATAAACAAATGACAATGCATCCAGCAGCCTGGCGGGCGGTAACTGCCCAATACTCGGGCGCGTAAAAAAGATACTCCTGAATTTTGAAATATATCAGAATATATAATAAACATATACCCCCATAACATATATAAACAATGTTATACTTATAACATTTGGACCCCCTAAGAGAGGGGTCCAAAGCTCGCAACATATATATATTTCCCCCCAAACCTGTTACTTCGAAAATATCCTGATAAAGTCCACCCATCCTCCTGAAATGACAGTCCTTTTTGTAACTATGTGGCCGATTATACCCATATGTAGCAATGGAATCCCAGTAAGCCACTTTTCGTACTATTCATTTTAAAGTCCGGAAAAAAATTAAAGCTAAAAGCTGAAACATAAATATTCCTAGGTCTAGTATAGCCAATATGTGAAGTATATTAGGCATCAGATTGCATGTGTTATACCTAGGATGGTTAGGCTAGGCTTTATTAGCATAAAATATACAAACTTTTCCAGTTTGTCGAAATTCAATATCACAAGTCTGCGTTCTGGCGGTTCATCACCACACAGGTACTTTATTATCAGGAAGCTGGGCTGTATGGCCTGGTGAATAATATATATATATATATATATATATATATATATATATATATATATATATATATATATATATATGACAGTGGACATACAATAACATTGGTGTGGTACATATTTATGTGTGTGTGTTCGTATGTGTAGAAATGTGTATACACACACAAGGACGGAGACACTCTGCCTGCAAGCACATGCAGGTGAGTTCACACACAACTGACAAGGCAGAAGAGTCCTATTGTAAAATGAACCAACACACTCCCTAAGTGGTCTAAAAATATAAACTTGTAAACTTATATACATACTTATATATTATTATTATATATATTATATGACAATGTCAGACCACGGAGGAAAAATGAAACAGGAATTTCCTTAAGTACTTTCGTATATTAAATACATCTTCAGAAGGTCCTTCTGAAGATGTATTTAATATACGAAAGTACTTAAGGAAATTCCTGTTTCATTTTTCCTCCGTGGTCTGACATTGTCACATTCTTAATCACGTGTTTATTTTCGTGATATACATATATATATATATATATATATATATATATATATATATATATATATATATATATATATATATATATATATATATATATATATATATATTATAATACCATACCTAGCGGCCAGAACTTACTACTCGGTCTAGTATGCAAGGTCCGATTTGCCTAGTAGCGAAAGTGATTTACGTTATTGAAAAAATTGGTTTATTTGAATTAATATTAATATATTATATCAGGAACATAAATTAGTGACTTTGTTATGATAGTTCAGGATAAGATAGGTTAGGTTTGGTCATATTTCTACGTTTGTTTTAACTCAAATTAAAAAAAAATCAACCATATATAATGTAATAGAAAGGTGTATTATTTCATAGGATTTATTATTAATATTTATCGGGAAAATTCGGCTTATTAAACAAATCGGACCGTGACCGTATATATATATATATATATATATATATATATATATATATATATATATATATATATATATATATATATATATATATATATATATATGTCGTACCTAGTAGCCAGAACTCACTTCTCAGCCTACTATGCAAGGCCCGATTTGCCTAATAAGCCAAGTTTTCATGAATTAATGTTTTTTTCGTCTACCTAACCTACCTAACCTAACCTAACCTAGCTTTTTTTGGCTACCTAACCTAACCTTACCTATATATATAGGTTAGGTTAGGTTAGGTAGGGTTGGTTAGGTTCGGTCATATATCTACGTTAATTTTAACTCCAATAAAAAAAAATTGACCTCATACATAGTGAAAAGGGTAGCTTTATCATTTCATAAGAAAAATATTATAGTAAATATATTAATTCAGGAAAACTTGACTTATTAGGCAAATCGGGCCTTGAATAGTAGGCTGAGAAGTGAGTTCTGGCTACTAGGTACGACATATATATATATCGTACCTAGTAGCCAGAACGCACTTCTCAGCCTACTATGCAAGGCCCGATTTGCCTAATAAGCCAAGTTTTCATGAATTAATTGTTTTTCGACTACCTAACCTACCTAACCTAACCTAACCTAGCGTTTTCGGCTACCTAACCTAACTTAACCTATAAAGATAGGTTAGGTTAGGTTAGGTAGGGTTGGTTAGGTTCGGTCATATATCTACGTTAATTTTAACTCCAATAAAAAAAAATTACCTCATACATAATGAAATGGGTAGCTTTATCATAAGAAAAAAATTAGAGAAAATATATTAATTCAGGAAAACTTGGCTTATTAGGCAAATCTGGCCCTGCATTGTAGGCTGAGAAGTGCGTTCTGGCTACTAGGTACGACATATATATATATATATATATATATATATATATATATATATATATATATATATATATATATATATATATATATAATGTGCACGAAATGCTCAAGACACACTGATCACATAAATGTAGAATAACAACACGTTTTCATATGTAATTATTCTGCATATAATATACATACTTCTTTAATCCGAACAAATGCAAAGTTGAGAGGATAGCTAGTGGAGTGAGAAGACCCCAAAACCGTACACACAGAAGGGAAGACATCTTGGTGCACGAGACCACAAGACGAGGAGGGAGAAGACAGACCCACACAGACCCCCAGAGGTAGACACAAGCAACGTCGCCACAGTGACAAGACTTTGCCAACGTCTGGAAAGCTTTCAAAGACGCTAACACAAAGCAGCCTCTCCAGCTCTACACAACCTACCTTGAGTATGCAGCCCCGGCATGGAACCCCCACCTGCAAAGGCATAAACAAAAATATAAAAAGGCCAGACATATGCAACAAGAAGGGGTCCTGAGCTGAGCTGAGGGGGGCACTGGTTATGGAAGGTACTTAAGGTCTTAAGCCCTGGTTTTCCAATCTGGATTAAGACAAAAATGTGAAAAAATCCATTACCCATTTTGTTTTTAATTTTGTTTCAATATAACTCTTTAGTCCATCCCTATTTTAACATTAACAGTGGTAAGTACAATGTTAATCTTTAAACATTATTATTATGCCCATGTTTATGATGGTAAGATTTAATGAAAGTAAATTATATAGATAAATTAAAACTTTGTTAAATCTTAGAAATAATGCAATAAAGTATGTTAAAATTAACTCTTTATTTAGTTACAGCTGGTTATAGTTATGCACCTTAAGTTATTGTTAGTGTAGGATCACCAAACACAGCAGTATGCTTATTTTATGTCTACCCCAAGACACCATAACATGTCTACCCCAAGACACCATAACATGTGTACACCAAGACACCATAACATAACAATTAGTTCAGATTAATAACAGATTAATTCTGCCGTATACTGAAACCCAGTGAGTAACGCCGTGAACCCGAGGTATGACAAGTTGGCTCAGTATCACTACCACCTCAGTTGGCTTACGTCCAGTGATATCAATGTATAAAGTCAATTGCAGAAGGCTTAGTAGCCCATACGAGGAAGCTGCTATTGGTTCACACGCGGCAGCTCCTATTTATATGCAACCAAACTCATATATTTGTCACACCTACGCTTGAAACAATCGAGCGATCTCACGTCTATGATGTTACCTGTAACTTGTTCCATAAATCAACAACTTTGTTCCTAAACCTGTAGTTCTCAACACAGACCAAGCCAAATGGTCGTCACAGTATAGCAAACCTAAATATCGGCTAAAACAATGTATTAAAGAACAGGCAGAAACCTGGTGAGAAATCTATCTAGTATGTCTAGAGGCCGGCGAATAAGCACCACCTGGCGGGTGTACCAGCACACAGGGGTCACACTGAGGAGGTCAACACCCCAGAGACAACACAGCCAGCAGGGAACTGGCGACTGCACAGACACACAGACACACATGGGATCATGCTTGATCACGACCCCACAACCGTGACACGAATCTACACAAATATCAACGTCAAAAAAGGACTTCAATATAACAGATGTAATCAAATAGTTTGGGGTTAGAAGGAATGGTTGAGAATAACTACAAGAGGAAATGATAGCACAACGAATCACAAGGTAAAAATGCCTGGAAGAGGACATAACGCCATGCCTAAAATCAAAGGCACATTTCAACAGAATTCATAACAACAGCTTATGAAAAGCTGGCAAACATTCGAGCAGTATTCAGTAATTTAGAGAAGGAAAGCTCGAGAGCATTGTACACTACATGCATGAAGATAGAGCATGAATATTCTGCCCCTACGTGGAATCCCTCTTCAGAATCAACCTGAAGATACAAATTCAAGAGGCTGCCCTCAAGACTTATCCAGGAACTGAGAAGGTTGAAAGCTTGAACTTACTTGACTACGCACCATGAGAAAAAAATGTAGGAACATGATTACGACATAAAAAGTCGTCGAGGAGTTTAGAGGATAGAGAAAGATGAGAGAGCAGGAATCAGATTGCGTGTACAACACCACGCTCCTGAAGGCAGCCGGGGGAGCAGCCTCGCTGCTCAAGGTTACAGAGACAGGAATTATGAGTGATGCTCCTCCCACTTATCTGTACTGTACCATGCCGTTGTGCTATTCCTACATTGGATATATAATAGGAAACAGACCCAAAAAATAAAAGAGAGATACGGCATAATATGTATATATATATATATATATGAACAAATCCAATTTTTAATCTGTGGTTTGTCTATGTTTTCCCCGGACAGCTGTTTCGATTAATTTTTAATTTTGTAAATCCACATAACCATCATAATCCGGCTACTTGGGATTTTGCTGTAGGAACTTTGCTAATTCCTTCTTGAAGATTTCACCCTCTGTTGTGGCAATATTTCTTATATTTCCTGATAGAAGGTCGAAGGGCGGTTGAACACTGATGAGGTGTCATCACCTGCTCTTCCTATCATATCTATTGTTTTAATTACTTATTGTACAAATCTGGGATGTGGCATTAAGGTAATATATGTCCATGAATTGATTATGAGACCTCTCGTTCCCATTTCAGGGGTAACCTGAATGTTTTGAGAGAGTAATTTAGATATTTTGCTGCATCTATGTGAGCATTAGAGGATCTCAATATCTAACTCTATACCTCGCCTGCCATGAAATAAGCTGTGAACACAAAACAACCAGTGTACGAGACGAGCAACAGTGCTCTAAAGCGTATCATTAATATTTTGAGTACAATTACACGTAAAATAACTAAAATCCCAATATCTGTCCTCTGTATAACCCAACACAACAGATTAAGGTCCTAGACAATGATTAGTTACTCTCCGCCCAACACTGGTCCTTCACAACACAAAGCCATCGTCATACTCACCAGTGCACTTGAATTCATTGTCAAGGACCTCAGTGATGAGTCTATCCTTGAGCCTGTAGGGGGAGGAGCAGCGGACGTAGGGGGCGAGGTGCGGGGCGGCGGCCAGCATGCGTCCCAGCCATGACAAGTGACAATCACAGATGAGCTTGTTGCCAGAGACACGGAGAGCGCGCAGGCGCGGTGTCGACTCGAAGGTGCCCCGCCAGAGCGTTGTAATGTTGTTGTTGGTCAATGTTCTGTTGGCAAGGACACACAAGTTATATTAACATGTCAGACTGACCGTGTTTAAGTAATGCACTCCTCACCTCAACTGTGTGCTCCCGGAGCCTTCAGACAGGCGCCATCTGCACGCCCAGCCACTGGTTGACCCCAAAGACGCAGTCATCAATTTTTAACGTATTGTGTATTCAATATGGAATTTTCTCATATAAACGTTCTATTATATATTAGAATTTGGTACATATTAGGCCTAAATGAGGATAAGTTATGTGATTAGGTTCTGTTGAAAATAAATTACTAGCATTTCTAATACGTGGGTGAATCATTTACAGAAGAACGATTCGAACAGAGGGCGTCAGCGAGGCAATGTTCGAACATCAGTTGTGAGTCGAGTAACAGCCCGTTCTCATCAACAAAGGCTAAATGCTCATTATTCTAGTGCCCCAAACCCTCAGTTTATGAATAAAAACATGTTACAACTGATGACGTAAGTACTTTTGTCGAGCAGTGTTCCGTTCACATCCTCGGCTCGAATCCCACCTCCCTAAACATTTCATCCACGTAGTGCAAATACCAATAATTGCTAACGTAACCTAACCGCCAAATTTAACGTAAGTTAGGCCTAACTACGCAACACATTCTAGTATATTAAAATACTATATATAATATGCAAAACCTTAATGATAGTGATTGTCGTACGACTGGTCGGTTGTTCATCGTCACTCTTCAACTACCGCCTTTGTAAGGCTAAATAAGTGGAGGAAGAGGGAGGTGCGGAGGGAGACGTTGAAGAAAATGGATGGTGGGGAAAGAAAGGGACTAGTGAAGATTTTGCGCTTCCCTTTTTGGAGAATAATGAAGAGATTTATAAGCAGAAACTGATCTAATGATACCATAGAGTTACAGTTGATGAGTTCCTGAAGACAACTGCCAGGTGTGTGTCGAGTGGAGTGTTCTCAACACACACCTGCTGCTCGCAGTTATACGAGCCATGTTTGGATGGCTGAAAAGATCATGACTTTGTGTAAACATAAAGAGTACAAAATATCGACAGGCGTCAATTAATGTTAGGAGGAACCCTTGTGTAGCCCAGGTTTGGTATGGTGGGCGTTTATGGTGACAGGTGTGTGTGGTGGGCGTGTATGGTGACAGGTGTGTGTGTGGTGATAGTGTACTCCTGGAGCAACCAGGGACAGGATGGTGTGTCGCACACGCCAACACTCCAGAGTGGTGAGTGTACATGAGACATTATTGTGGAGGGGGATGGTGATGGTGGAAATGGGGAATGACTGAGGGTGATGGGTGGACTGTGCAAGGGAATGAGAATGGTGAAGGGACAATGTGGAGAGATTAAGTGGCAGACCATGGTGAAGGAGCAAGTGGTAAAGGATGGTGGATGAAGGATTCAATAAGATGGCAGGAGGGTGACGGAGCACAGGGACAAGCAACAGAGCCGTGTGAGCAAAGTGTAAACAGGAGAACATTGAAAAGCAGAGTGAGCCATCAGTGCATGTTGTAAGATAAGGCACGGTGGAAGGGAGTGTTGAGGAAGGCGAGGGGAGGCGAGGGGAGGCGAGGGGAGGCGAGAGGAACAGGCCAGGAACAAGAGCCAATAACCCAGGGAAAGAGGGACAGAAGGTCCCCGGGGTACTCACAGTATCTCCAGGAGTGCCAGGCCCCTGAAGGCGTGCTCGTCGATGCAAGTGATCTGGTTCTCATCCAGCTGTCTGTAACGAAGCAAAATACACATTTTAGTCAGGTAGTTATCGTGATACATATTGTCGCTACACACTCACTCGCGTATATCCTCAGAGATGGTTTATACATGCATGGGGTACTGGGGTATATTTCTAGAACCGTTAGCAATAAAACACCTGGTGTTATTCTTCAGCTGTATCTTGGTGTAGTTTGGCCACCATTTACATAATACACTTCAGTTTTCTAGCCATACTTCATAATGGATATAAATTCATAAGAACGCGTTTAGCGTAGGATGACAACGCTAATTCCGCAAATTAGAAACGTTCCATATGAAGAGATTGAAAAAGCTTAATTTACATTCTCAAGAAAAGTGAAAAATTAGGGGTGACATGATTGAAGTGGATGAAAGGGCATAATAAGTGGGTATATTAACAAGGTGTTAAATATATCAACACAAAATATAACACGAAACAATGGATATATATTGGAAAGTTACGATATACGAAATACCTGGGTAAATACTGGCTTGGAAACAGGGTCGTTGATTTATGGAACCAATTAGCAGGCATCATAACAGACGTAGCAGGCCTTGAGTGTTTCAAGTGTAGGTTAGACGTATAAATGAAAGTGTTTGGGCAGCTATAGGTACGAGCTGCCACCCATGGGTCAATAGGCCTTCTGCAGTTTCATTAATTCTCATGTTATCTTCTCTTTGTAATTATCAGTTATCAAACCTGCCTCAGTTCTTAATGGCCCTGTCTTTACCCTCGACACTCACACCTGACGCCCCCTCACAACAATCACCGCTGACACCCTCACAACAATCATAGTTGACGGCCCTCACAACAATCACAGCTGACACCCTCACAACAATCACAGCTGACACCCTCACAACAATCATAGCTGACCCCCTCACAACAATCACAGCTGACACCCTCACAACAATCACAGCTGACACCCTCACAACAATCACAGCTGACACCCTCACAACAATCACAACTGACACCCTCACAACAATCACGGCTGACGCCCTCACAACACGGCTGACACCCTCACAACAATCACAGCTGACACCCTCACAACAATCACAGCTGACGCCCTCACAACAATCACAGCTGACACCCTCACAACAATCACGGCTGACACCCTCACAATAATCACGGCTGACACCCTCACAACAATCACAGCTGACACCCTCACAACAATCACAGCTGACACCCTCACAACAATCACTGGCTGACAACAATCACACAACAATCACAGCTGACGCCCTCACAATAATCACGGCTGACACCCTCACAACAATCACGGCTGACACCCTCACAACAATCACAGCTGACCCCTCACAACAATCACAGCTGACGCCCTCACAACAATCACGGCTAACACACCAATCACAGCACACAACAATCACAGCTGGCGCCCCTCACAACAATCACGGCTGACACCCTCACAACAATCACGGCTGACACCCTCACAACAATCACAGCTGACACCCTCACAACAATCACAACTGACACCCTCACAATAATCACGGCTGACACCCTCACAACAATCACAGCTGACGCCCTCACAACAATCACGGCTGACACCCTCACAACAATCACAGCTGACACCCTCACAACAATCACAGCTGACACCCTCACAACAATCACAGCTGACACCCTCACAACAATCACGGCTGACACCCTCACAACAATCACGGCTGACACCCTCACAACAATCACAGCTGACGCCCCTCACAACAATCACAGCTGACACCCTCACAACAATCACGGCTGACACCCTCACAACAATCACAGCTGGCGCCCCTCACAACAATCACAGCTGACACCCTCACAACAATCACAGCTGACACCCTCACAACAATCACAGCTGACACCCTCACAACAATCACAGCTGACGCCCCTCACAACAATCACAGCTAACACAACAATCACAGCTGGCGCCCCTCACAACAATCACAGCTAACACAACAATCACAGCTGGCGCCCCTCACAACAATCACAGCTAACACAACAATCACAGCTGACGGCCCTCACAACAATCACAGCTGACGCCCTCACAATAATCACGGCTGACACCCTCACAACAATCACAGCTGACACCCTCACAACAATCACAGCTGACACCCTCACAACAATCACGGCTGACGCCCTCACAACAATCACGGCTGGCGACCCTCACAACAATCACAGCTGACGCCCCTCACAACAATCACAGCTGACGCCCTCACAACAATCACGGCTAACACACTTACAACAATCACAGCTAACACAACAATCACAGCTGGCGCCCCTCACAACAATCACAGCTGGCGCCCCTCACAACAATCACGGCTGACACCCTCACAACAATCACAGCTGACACCCTCACAACAATCACAGCTGACACCCTCACAACAATCACAGCTGACACCCTCACAACAATCACAGCTGGCGCCCCTCACAACAATCACAGCTGACACCCTCACAACAATCACAGCTGACGCCCTCACAACAATCACGGCTGACACCCTCACAACAATCACAGCTGACACAGCAATCACGGCTGACAACAATCACAGCTGACACCCTCACAACAATCACAGCTAACAACAATCACAGCTGGCGCCCCTCACAACAATCACGGCTGACGCCCTCACAACAATCACAGCTGACACAACAATCACAGCTGACAACAATCACAGCTGACACAACAATCACAGCTGACACAACAATCACAGCTGACAACAATCACAGCTGACACAACAATCACAGCTGACACAACAATCACAGCTGACACAACAATCACAGCTGACAACAATCACGACTGACAACAATCACAGCTGACACAACAATCACAGCTGACACAACAATCACGGCTGACACAACAATCACGGCTGACACAACAATCACAGCTGACACCCTCACAACAATCACAGCTGACACAACAATCACGGCTGACAACAATCACGGCTGACATAACAATCACGGCTGACACCCTCACAACAATCACAGCTGACCTACAGTGTGCGAGAGGGAGTGGAATGAAGGCATCAAGTGAGTGCGTGCAAGCAGCTACAATCATACATAATTATACACGACATAAATATGACAGCTATTTGGTTGTATGACTATTCAAGATAAATAAGTTTTCAATTCAAATTTGTATATAAATTTCAAGTCAATAAAATATAGAGTATACGATGCTACCTAAAGTTCGGCAGGCGTCTATTTCTGTAGCTGGTCTGGTCACAGAGTAGAAGGGCGGGCCTTTTGGAGGGGGTATTGGTGGGCGGGATTTAGCGGGCGGGCCGGGCGGGCCGGGCGGGCCGGGCGGGCCGGGCGGGCCGAGCGGGCCGAGCGGGCGGAGCGGGCGGGCTGAATCCAACAATCAATGTAGATTTGCGCACCAAGTGAGTATTGAACGCTATTCTGTGGAATCCAATACGTCCAATCCTATAACACTGAAGAGGATTGGCTACGATTCTCATGCGATGGTTTCAGAGGCTCCGGTGGCGATCTGTTTTGTTCGTCTTCTTCAACTGGATCAGCTGTGTCGCCTCTATGGCAGCCACTTGGACTGGACGGTAGAGCGACGGTCTCGCTTCATGCAGGTCGGCGTTCAATTCCCAACCGTCCAAGTGGTTGGGCACCATTCCTTCACCTCGTCCCAACCCTAATCCTTATCCTGGCCCCTTCCCAGTGCTGTAGAGTCGTAAAGGCTTGGCGCTTTCCCTTGACCTCACCTCTATGGTCAGGCTCTGGCCACGGACTCTAGCCACGGACTCTAGCCACGGACTCTAGCCACGGACTCTAGCCACGGACTCTAGCCACGGACTCTAGCCACGGACTCTAGCCACGGACTCTGTGACTACGGCACCCTGAGGTCACATTTAATATGCGCGGCCTGCGATGTTACACCAATTAATATAATTTGGACTTTCGTTACATTTTTCTTTGTCGAGTATTAGGGAAGACGACGACTTTGTTCGTACCCAATGTTGATGGTGAACATGTTGCAATACAAACAATATTATGCATATAATACTCTAATGTCTGGCGCCTCCTGTCGTGCTGTTCATATACTTTAAAATATGGACATATAGAGAGAGAGAATGACTCTCTCCACGAATCCATGTGAATGAATGAGAGAATGAGAAGTGAATGAGAGAATGAGAAGTAGAGTGAGTGAATAAGTTTGCAGGAGGGGGGGGGGGGGTTAAGCGCCTTCATTTCTAACGTTCGGGAGTCTGGTGCTCTAACTTCTACACCTTCGTGTCTCGTTATTGGTATGGAGGCAGCCTCTCCTGTTTCCCTCCCTGCGATGCTGTGTTCACCATCTTTGGATTAGGACGGCGGGATAGAACCCCTCGTCCTTGCTCACCGTGATTTCAATGTACATTGCACATAACGCTTTGAATACATTTTTGTCTAGGCTTCTCAAGGCGATCCTGAGCTCCGCCAGCTCGTGTGTATGCCGCTGGTGCCATTTTGTTTACATGTTGTCAGAAAAGCTCTGCGTGGGTCGCGACCTTATGCAAACATTTCAAGTGCTGTACCGTGTAACGTACAATATATATATAACGTATATATATATATATATATATATATATAAACTTTAGACACACCCACCAGGGACTCAAACACTGACCATCAAGATGGCAGGTACGCACTTGTATCCACTACACCATACTTCAGAGCCCTAAAGAGGTGGGAATTTCGGAGTATTTAACCAACCAGATATCCCATCCTCTCCAGGCAATGAGACAGTGAGGGATCTCTCGCGTTTTTCATCAAACCCTGTTATATGGGAGAACTCGGTGCCCATGTTTAATGCACAGACTTGCTTATAAACCATGCTTGGGGGTGTGTGTGTGTATATATATATATATATATATATATATATATATATATATATATATATGTCGTACCTAGTAGCCAGAACTCACTTCTCAGCCTACTATTCAAGGCCCGATTTGCCTATTAAGCCAAGTTTTCCTGAATTAATATATTTACTATAATTTTTTTCTTATGAAATGATA